AAAATAATGTTATAATATAAAATAATATCACATATATTATTCGGTATATTGTTTATAGAAAGATAAATACTCATAAAGTATATTTGATGCAAATTCTCGTGTAGGTGCTTCTAAAATTATAAACAATTTAGTAATAATATTTCTAACTCAAAATATATTTTAAATATTATTTTTATTACAAAAACTCACTTTTTAAAATAATAAATAATAATAACTTATTTTAAATAAAATATTATAAGCCTGTTGGATAATTATTCAAAGGATAGAATATTCATCTAAACTTTTTTTTAGATAAGCTACAAAAATAAATCCACTGTTTCTCCCCCACATAAAAAATATTATTTCAATATACCAAAGAATAATAATAAGAGAAAACGACTCGAATAACCTTCTAATACATTTCACAATCATCAGTATTTGACCCCCAACCTCTAAAATATATAGTTCAAATACCAAATTCCTTTTTTTGATCAGTAAACATATCAAAAAGTATCTACCAAAAATATGGTAGACACTCCAATTTTTAGAAAAAAAAAGATATAATTTTATCATTTCTGCCAGAGGCCGAGCACGACACAATTAAATATGTTTTCTCTTATTATTATTCCTTGGTATACTGAAATAATTGTTCCTCCAGGAAGACTACATTGCTTTAAATGTAGATCTTAGCAATATTCTGTTCTGTCCAATGTGCATTCAGAAATTGAAAGTTTTTAAGCGTTTCAGTAGCCATGTGTAAGCTTGAATGAGTTTGGTTTACGTTAAAAATTTGTTTGATTTGGAACAATAATGTTTACTAAAATCACTCTAAGATGAATAAGTACCAAAGAAAGTGATACACTCATGACTTCGAAAAACTCAGGTTATATTTTACAATATATTTTCTATGTTTAGTATTCTTAAACAATACTCACCCTAAATTTAATATCACTTTATTAAAAAGTTGTTAGAGATGTTAAAAATAAAAAATGTGGAAATTCTTACAAGTAATACATTTGTAAAATCTCAAAAAAAAGCAATTAACTCGCTTCTAACCAGACCCTAGATTAAAGAGGAAACCAATTTTCCAAAAACAATATGAAGGAAACATGTTTTAGAAGATAAAAGCACAGCAAGAAGGAGAGAAACCAAAGATACAGTGATGGCAGACCAGGAAGTTTGACGTTGAATTTGAGTAAATAAATAAAGTGAAATAACAATAACAAAGATAGAGTGAATTTGGTTGTTGATTGGATACAATACGAAAAGTTGTCCACGCATCTCCTAAACAACTCAGATTCTTCATAATCACTCATAAAGCAACAAGAAAAAGCCTATAAACTAAGCAGCAGGGTTATGAATTGCATTTTGCAAACACAACTAGGATCACAACATTACAGAATTTAGACTGTCACCTTAACTACACAGCAACTGTAACTATGATCACAATAGCATGTCATTAACAGGTGTGTTACTGTCTATAAATTAGGCAATTGTAGTCCACAAAACAACAATCACAACATTATAGTTTTTAACAGTATTCACAACCACATTACAGCCATACTTATGGCCACATTTGTTAACAATTTACTTTAAGCACAACATACATAATTGCAGTCATATCAGCCGCATTTTGCTACGGTTGTCCATAATGACAGTAGTCACAACCATGAAAACAATTTAGAATCTTGGTAGGCATTAACGATAGCATGGGACACTAACATGCCACATTATATTACTTTATGGCAACATACAAGCGAGCTAGGAAAGATAACATGTGTCATTAGCATAACATCTTATTGACCTTTGAGGGTGCATAGAAGCCCATATGTTTCTGTGATTATAGTTTAGATAATAATAAAACTAAAGAAGCAAATACCAGATTTTGGTGAGCATAGAAAATCCAACAATAAAAAGCCAGCGAACCATTAGTCTAAAGTCTAAGACAGAACAAATCAAATAGAATGATTGAATCACTTAGAAGCTGAGTGATTATTATCCTGAAAATCCTCTTCCCTGATGAGCAACTTCTCCTTCTGAACAGCAACAACAGGCTTTGGCTGTCCAACACTCTGTGATCCTGTGTACCTTGCCAACACCACAAAAGTCATCCCTCCAAGCACATTGTTCAACAGTCTGAGCATAAACACTGACGACTTGAACGCTAATGGAGGCAGCCCTTTCTCCAACACAAATTCAACACCATTAAGTGTCTGGTATCTGAGGTTGCTACTGACACCCATGTGAGCAGCCCAAGTGAGGGCATTCAAGAGGGTGGGCGGAGGCTTGTTAGGTGTCTCAAAATCAGGATCTAACTTCTTCCTAACAGTAATCAAGGTGTTAGAGATGGCAGTCCCAACTAGGCCAGCAGCGAAACCAACACCAGCGAAAAGAGCTCCTTTGTAAATTAGAGTACCAAAGCGATCTAAAAGATTGTAAGTACCAGGCTGGAACATGTGACTAGTGGGGGAATTAGCAAATATTCCAGGCAGTGAGGAGGAGGTGAGGGACAACGTCGGCGCGAGGAGATACATGAGGGTGAAGTTGAGGATGCAACCAACAACTAGGGTTGAGAAAACGAAATCAAGTTCATTGAGGCCGAAATTAGGTCTGGTAGCCATATCACCAATCACACAAGCACTTACACCAACCAACTCTTCCATTAATACTTTGAAAGCGAATTGTGGATCAGCGGCAACCCTTGATCTCCATCCGTTTAGGAATATACTTAACAAACCAAATCCAGCACCAGAAGAAGAAGAATCATCATCATCATCGTTTGAATCGTTAGAATCTCCCGATTTCCCAGAATCACCACCACGTCCCCCATTGCCGCCGCCGCCAATGGCGAAGGAGAGAGGGAAACGGTGGCCGTTAGGTCTTCTGGAGAGAGAAAGAGAGGAAGGGTTTTGGTGACGTGGCAAAATGGAAGATTGGTAGTGACCAGAGAGAGGACAAAAACGAAGCTGAACTAGGGCTGCCATGCTTTGGTTATAAGATCTGCAATTATATTATGTAATTGATTCCATAAATAACGTAATAGTAATAATAATTCAAATAATAAAGTACCTTGATTGGAGATAATCAAAGAATGGTTGAATTGAAGGAATATGAAGAAGAAGAAGAAGAAGAAGAAACCAACCAACTCAAAACTAAAACCCTTCAAATTGTTACAACTCAAAACCCACTCACAAATTTGTCACGCTTCCTTGTTTGTTGTTTGGTCCCACATCGCATATCGGAAACTGGACTGGGCTGAATTCGGTTCACTCTACCCAAACAAAAGCGAGCTATTTATATACATAACTAATACAATACTAGTTAATATTACATTTCTAGGTACATTCTACAAGAAAAAGCAAGATATTCAAGTACACTGCCTTTATTTAATTGTTGGATCAAGCTCAAATTTAGATATAAGGTTTATAACATCTAGAACATCAATATGAATAGTTGGAATAGAATTTTTTTTAAATGAATATTTGTTGAGTGAGCCATAGATTTTTGAGTGATGCAAACAATTTGATGCTATATCTTCCCATGTTATTACCCACTCAATTCCTAGAACTATATCACAACAAGTGATATGATGTTTATTGTGATGTTAGTTATGGAGTTCATTAGAAATGAAATAGGATAGAATATTATTTAGATTTAATTAAATAATTGTTATTATTTCTAAAATGTTCTTATATTGTAAGATTATGATACTTGTATGATCATCATCAGCTTAGGATTTCCTTATTATTTTTAAATAGTGTCTTTCTCATCAATCAAAGGAATGAAAAATGAAGAATTTAGTGTTTACTTTACCCTTTTTCCAGGAGTAGAATATTTTCTATAGTATTCTTGATACATTTTACACTCTATCAATAAGCAAGAGAAATCAACATAATATCTAAAGTGAACATAGTGTGTTGTAGTGTCCATGTAAAATTACAGCGTGACCATGTAGGCCAAAAAAGCATTCATAGATATTAGATCATCATTTGATGCTTCCACTACCACTAATATCATACTCCCAGATGCTTCATGTAATTCTCAAGAACCCAAGCTAAAACCATGTTCATCTTTTTCATATCTTTTCATGGAGCATATGAGAATATGATATTAGTCGTAGTCCTATAATTTCATATGAGACCATACTCCCACTCACAGTTACCAAAAGTTATGATTTCCATTCACAAGCTCACTAATGTCTTATGTTATGCCAGGTGTCATTATAGAGAATGTAAAATTTAGATATGCATGAATTACAAGAACAACGACGATACAAATTAAGACAATATGTTAAACAGAGAAGGAATGACATGAACATAGAGCAAAGACAATAAGAGTTAGCAAGGAGGCATTTAACATGCTACGAACGAAACAATGACAATGAAGCAGAACAAAATCAAAATAATATTTGTATTCACACAAAAACCGAAGAAAGTATCATACCCATGACATGTGCATGATATTTTCCTCAAACAGCATATAGGAAATACTCTAATACAGGTATTAGTACATTTGTTATATTTCATTTCCTTAAACTAACAAAAATACTTAGAGTCTAAATACTAATATTAAAATATGTTTTATTTAGGTTGATGTTGATATCATGTCACATACTTACACATTATGTTTACAATTTTTACATAGGAGGTGATACTCACATTCAATTGAGTCTAAGAGGAAAACACATTATTTTTTAATTAAAACACACTATGCTATGCTTACTTACCAAACTCTAGATTATAATAGGAAACAAAATAAATGAGTTCCAAAAAGAATTTGAGTGGCAATATTCTATTCCTCATTAACACAATTGTATATGCATCATTTTATTAAGCTTGAACAATCACCCTAATTAAATATATTCAACTAAAAATTATAATATTTAATACAATTTACTACATTAAATATTTATTATATATAAACTATACATTACAAACAATAGGAAATATAAGGAAATGAAAAAGAAAGAAATAATAAAGGATTGGATGGAAGTTTTGGGCCATTGGGCCCGGTAAGTATGATAAGGCCCGGTTTGGTACTCCTCCTCCTCTGTGTGATATATAAAATATGATAGAGAGAGAGTGTGTGTTGTGTTGTGCTGTTGAGAGAAGAAAAAGAGAAAGATGAATTTTCGATGGATGGAAGCAGTGTTACCATTAGGAATAATCGCAGGAATGCTTTGTGTTATGGGTAACGCTCAGTATTATATCCACCGTGCTGCTCATGGCCGTGTCCGTATTTCATTTTATTACTCATTACTCTCTCTCGATTCAATTCAATTCAATTCAATTTTATTATTATTTATTTGTTTATTAATAATTGGATCTTTGATTTCAGCCTAAGCACATCGGTAATGATATGTGGGATGTGGCCATGGAACGAAGAGATAAGAAGCTCATCGATCAATCTACTACTTCCTAGGTATATATCCCTCTCTTTCATCATTTATTTACCCTTTTCACTCTTACTGCCATAACGTACATATTTCATCATTTTATTCATTGTTATTATGTAAAACCTATAAATCACAAATTAGGTTTTCAAAACAATGGATAGGGTCTGGATGTGAATGTTATCAAAATCTCTATGCCATACTGCTAACCTTCAATTGGTCTTTTTATGATGATCAAATAAAATACAGTGTGTATTCACAAACCTCAAGGCTTAGCTAGCTATACATGGACACAATAATCCTTATGTTTACTTGTTTCTCTTCATATGTTTTTTATGTCACTTTATCATCTCATTTTTTGCCTATGGTTGGATAGGAATGCTAATTCTTTTATTAATGATGATAAATTCTTCCCATCATTACTGTTTCTAGAAGATTAACTAGTATGCTTAGTTTCTTTGTCGTTCTCAGATAGTGGCTATTTTAGACACATTTCTTTCTTTGATATTCTGAGGGATTCAACATATATTTCTCCTTCATGTCATACTTTTTCTAAGTTCCTTTGTTTTGCTCTGCTATTTCTACTGCTTTCTTTAGGATCATTCTATCCTCTGCACGTGTACTTTTCTTTCATCAAATTTCTTTTTATTGATAATCAAAAAATGAATTGTCACTTTGATAACTAAAGGTTGATATGGGTATATAGGTTTAATTTTTGTGTGTATTAAACTTAATGACTTCGATTTAAAATAAAAATTATAATTTGTGTGTTGCTTAATGCAGGTCGTTTTATCAATGTGCTTGTGAATGGAATAAATTGCTTATCTGATGTTCCAAGGAATCCGGGAGGATCCCTACACTCAGATTTCCATCTGTTTTCTTGTATGACATTTATTATCAGCTTTAAGCTCTAATCAATTGCTTTCTCATGGCTGAACATGGTTTAATAGACTTGTTATAACTTTGTGTTTGAGATATTTGTTCCATGTTAATCTTTGACCAATTTGTTCTTCAACATAAATATAAGTCTTCATATATATATATATATCAATAGCTGATGAATAATTATATAAAGCAACCTGCATTCCCGACCCATACTTTCCATTAAACACAAAGATTGAAGAGAATGTTGGAAAAGAGGAGGCTACCATAGTAATTAACATTTTCTTATTTATAAATCATAACATGCAGAAGATTTTGATGTTTGAACAGAATATAGGTTTGAGATTATGAGAAACAAACTATAACAGGAAAGTTTTTTATGTGCCATAGGTAATTATTTTCCAGCTCTTGCTTGTTTCTTTTGCATTTTGAGACAGTGACACACTATAATATTTTTTAATGTCATTTAAATTAACTGTTTCTAAGTTGATTTTATAAGTTTTTTTTGTTGAAAATTTGGTAGTTTAAAACCCACTTTTTGAAGGTATATTTTCTGAAAATATTAGGACTCTGTAGATCTTTTTCATTGTGAAAAATTGTAAAATTTGGTTGGGAATTGTGAGTTTTGTAACAAAAAAATGTAAAAGACCAACTTGAAATTATTTGATTTATTTTTTGGCTCTACTTAAATGTTAAATTTTTTAATGTTAAGTTCCTTTGTAGGAATGTTTCACCTGTGTTACTTGAAAGCATGGGTCATCAACTGATACCTTTCTCCCTGTATGATTTTTGTTGGCATATTGAATGAAATCTCTGTCAAAAACTGAAATTGGTAGGACAATAATTCAGTACATTTGATTGTTCTACCTTTCTATTAACACTTCCGTCTACATATAGCGCTTTGCTTTACCTTCCACTTGGGTTTAGTTTCACTGCCCAAAACGTAAAATAGAAAATGTGAAAGAAAACATGTTTAGTTTGTGAATACTGAGTAAAATAATACAGTAATAATAACTAATAAGTATATTTGCACTTACCTACTATCTACTATCATAAGAGTAAGATACTAGATAAGTAAAAAATGTCATATACTTTTTGGACAAGTATAAGGAAATCATAAGTCAGTCAATGTTATATTGATCAAGGAGGTGAACTTATTATACTGGTAACTTAGGAGATTTAAGGTGCTGCTGGTCTAGAAGTGACGTGGGAGACATGTACTTTTTGTTGTTAAAGCTTGAATAATTTGGTACGCAGCAGAGTGCTGTTACAAGTGTGCAAAGAAACAATGCAACCGCAACTTGTACAACAAAGCCACCATAACCATTTGAAGGGATATGCCAATACCAGTGGCAGGATTGCAATTAAGTGCACAATCTAGGCAGTGAAGTATTCAACCACATACCTATGGGGAATACCTCCTGGAATGTAGTATAAGTGAGTGATTCCTACTAGAGTGGTAGCACACCATTTGACAAACAAGGGTGAGAATTATGTCATCTTCCATGGACAAATAAAAATGTAAGTTCTCTTTGTTGATGAAACGAGGTCACTGCATAGAAAATTACCGGATGAGAACATGTCCAAGTTATTAGAGAGGCAGGCTTATGATTACATATTGTATTCATTACTAGCTTCGATGTTCAAATATTATATATCCACACTCTTCATTAACCAATTTTAACATTATGAAATGAAAAGCTTAAACTAGGATATGTATGGAAGTTGCTGCACAATATGAATACCTATAACATTTCCCTCTACCCAAATCCAGTTATTAGAAACAAAAACATTCCAGGCAAAATAAGTGCACACTACTTTTCCATGTATGTTTTTTCAGGATAAATGTTATGCAATGGAACATTCATACCAAGTTGGGTAGAAAAAATGTTCATACTGAGTTATGAACTTTCATGTTTCTATTATGTCCACAAAGTAGGTAGCGACATTTTATTCATTTCAATGGAACAACTGAATACATCGTCAAGATATAGAATCACTTTTGACTACTACCATTCACACCACAATGAATCATTAAAGGAGATAACATATATACACAAAAATCCTCTATTACCACAAGTATAAACTAATGATCTTAAACAAACAAACCAGGGGAAGCCAAAAAGAGGTGTTGTTGAGAAGAATTTCTGATTGCAGTAACTGAACTTGAATATATATGCGAAAGAAACAGCAGCAAGTGAAGATTATGTAAAAAAATTGTGTGTCAGTCATGGTGCATATTCATGTTCAATGGTAGGTTGTGTTCGAGTAACAGTTGCGGCAGGTGCTCTTGTATCCCCGACCGAGGCCATATGAAGAGCTTCTCCCACATCTGCAGCCCTTTCCATCTGTTGTATCATCTTCTTTTGTTTGTACTTGTGTGCCCACAAAACCAACAGCAACAACAATGCTAACAATGCAAGTCCTCCCAAGACAGACCCAACAATAATCCCCACCTTCTTCTGGTCACTCTTGCTTTCCCCTTTACCATTTGTCGAGCTACCAGGAGCGGGAGCAGGAGACAATGGTGCTGGTGTTGGAGGAAGAACGGTGGACATGACCACTATTGAGTAATGGCCCTGCTGTGAAGTGGAGCAAGTGTTACCTCCTATTACATTGGTGAAATTGGATGAACCCTGTAAATTAAACCAAACACATTTGGCAACGGTGCCATCAGGAGCAGATTTCACATCCTGGAACTTGATATTGATAGGGTCACCTGATGCCTTGACATTGAGCTGTGGTAAATTTGTAGCAGATAGATTGGAACCGTCATAAGCGAGTAGTCCCAGTATGGGAGCCAAGTAAGTGTAATTGGGCAAGGAGTAGTAGCGAGTGGAGAAATAACCCAGGTTCTGGTATACCAAAACAAGCCTAGTGACACATGGTTTCTCAATGACCCCTTTAGGAATATGAAACTCATTGTACATTGAAAAACCTCTCCTCCTTAAACTGCCACTCCTTAATCTCAATGCAGCAACCTTAACACCGGTCAAATTAGAAGGGAGGTTAGTGGCATTGTAAATGGCACCTGTTATGGGTTTGATCAAAGCCCTGTAAGCATAGTCTTGAAGAATTGCATCGAGGGCCTTTCCTTGGGTAGCAGTAGGAATAGAAGTAGTAGTTTGAATAGTAGCAGCAAGAATAGTAGTAGTAGTAATAAGAAGAGAAAGAATGGCAAGACTCCAAAGAAGAAGTCCCATGGATGCTAACAAATGATATTCAATAAACTTACTTTTTAGAAATAGAGTTAGGGGAAGGCACATTATGATATCAAATTAAATTAATAAATTAAAACAACAACGGGGGGCAAGAAGGAAGGAGGGTATAAGCACCAATATTCTCTCCCTCTCTCTCTCTTTCTTTCTTTAACAATATTCTTTCTTTCTTTCTTTCTTTCTAGCTTTGAATTGGTTTGGGTTGGTTAATAGTAATAATAAGAATAAGAACTGTGATGAGAAAGAAGAGATAAAGTTTGTTGTTTTGCATACTATGAGATTGAGTTGTTGAGGTCCACTCCTGACAAATCATTTTACTCTGTTTTTCTGCCCTATGCCAAAAATTATAATCACTCACCAAATCTATGTCCTTCCTTCCTTATTTTATTCCTATTATCATCATCCCCTATTGGCCTATTCATTCAATACTGCATTCTATCTTACTATGCAATTCATTTATCTTTGATTTAATTTCATCTAATTTCATTAGGAAATTAAATTACTACTTAAGGAATACATTCATAATTGGAAAAAACCTACTCCACATCATAATCATTCATTATTGGAAAATCCAATGGTTTGAAAAAATAAGTATATCTAAACCATTGAATTTTTCAAGAATAAGTCTCATTATAATTATGGGGAGGGATCCACTTACTCCAAGAGTAAGTGGAAAAACACTTACTCCACATCATGACCATTCATTCTTGGAAATCCAATGGTTTGAATTGGTGAGTACATCTAAACCATTGAATTTTTCAATATTAGATGGCTAAGATGAAGAGTAAGTGTTTTTTAGAGTAAGTGGATCCCTCCCCGATAATTATACTTATCATTTCGGAATCAATAAGATACATATCAAAAATAAAATAAAAATCACATTTCCTCTGGTATCGACGATATAACTAGTTTAGTACACAACATCCTACCACTCCAACTTATAGGTACAAATTTATTTTACCAACTACAAGCAACCCAAAATGGCAATGGGCCAAAAAACACATAAAAGGACCCGGACCAAAGAGGCCTCAAATAGACCCAAAATAAGTTCTAAGGTCTAGCTTACTTGGTAACTTACAGGGGAAGGGGCCCATAAAGGGTATCTCAGCGTCTCCGTAGGCTTATATATTGGCATGTCAAACTAACTGATTGAACATATAAGAGTATGACCTCACTATGACTTGATTACACCTTCCATGTTGACGCAAGTTAAACTTAGACACTCAATACAAATGGAGGATGTAATTTTCATACTAGATGAGAGATCCACTTATTTTAAGATTAAATTTTTTAAATTTACCCCACATCTTTTAGCCATTAATTCTAGGGAAATCCAATGGTTTAGATCCACTCACTAATTCAAACTGTTGGGTTTTACTAGAATTGATGAATAAGATGTGGAGTGAAGCAAGTGGATCCCATCCCTTCATAGTAAATATCATCTACTCTATATCCTACTACTTTTTTATTATGTATTTGCATTCCATAAATATTGGATCCTAATAGAATCCCTTATCGAGTACAAATCCAAGGTGATCCCTTGTAGTTGGTAAATTTCTTGGTTCCATGTTAGCAAACTAAAAAATAGAATCTAATCCTACTAAATTAAAAATTGTATTCACTATGTGTAGCCCAAAAGCCATAAAATAGGTATAATAGTTAACATTTTAGTTAACCACCCTCTTCTCTTTCTTGCCATATGTAGCACAACATTCACTACTTCTTCTCTAACTCATGAATAAAGGAAATACATTTAAATGATCTCAATAGCAACTTTCAATGTTTTCAGCAGGCCACCCATCCTAACTAAACCATTGTTTCGCTAGACCTCTCGGCTTCCACGATTAGGGAGAGATAATGGAAAATGATAAAATTCCACAATCTCTTAATAATTGGAGTCATTACCATGGCCATGGAAAAAATAAAATGGATATTTGATTCAAAATAAAATAAAATGGAAGATGATGTAAATATAAACCCAAAATGATGAGCATTTTCAAGCAGATCTTTCTGATGACAGAAGACATTTTTTGAATTTCTAAACACTAAGAAGGTATCCCTAGTCACCGCATTTGAGCCTAGA